AATAGAAAGGTACTGATTATTTGATGTTATTGATTATCTAATTATGTTAATTATTGGTTATTTAATAGAAAGGTATTATTATTTGATGTTATTGATTATCTAATTATGTTAATTATTGGTTATTTAATAGAAAGGTAGTGATTATTTGATGTTATTGATTATTTAATTGTGCTAATTGTTGATTATTTAATAGAAAGGTGAGCGAGAATTGGCTGACTTCAAAGATATGAATGTTGGTTATGATGCTGGCTGGGATCGTGTACTTCTGTTGTGGTAAATTTAATTTTGTTTATTTTATTTTTATTTTATTTTATTTTATTTTTTCGAAATTTGGATGCAATTTTTTCTGCAAAATTCACGAAATTTTATAAATTTATTCAAAAATTGTTAAAAAGCCGTTTGTTAAAAAATATATTTCACAATATTATATTTTGTTGTATTATGAATATGAAATTAAAATTGAAATTTCAATAAACAAAACTTTCCAAGTTTTTAATTCATGAAAGTTTTTAGGCATTTAATGCATGAAAAATATTCTAGGCCAATAACAGTGAAACATTTAATTGATGATCAAAGTCCATTACTTACGATAACACCTGATGGGATGCATAATGCCGATTTTGAGATTATCATGACAGTTGAAGGAATTGTTGAAGCAACCGGTATGACATTCCAAGCTCGAACATCATTTTTACCTGATGAAATACTCTGGGGATACAGGTTGGTATTTTAAAACGTATAATTTCACATATCCACATATTCATTTAGATAACGGTATGCTTAAAAAAGTATTGATACTGTAAGGTGGAAACCTAGACTAATCATAGATTACGTAAACCAATAGAAGTCATACGTGTATTTAAATGTTAAAAAAAAAAACAGAAACTATCAGTGAATGAATAATCAAAAATTTGTTAAACTATAAAAAATTGTATTAATAATTTGAAATAAATTTTAAAAGATATATATATAAAATGATAAATGAACAATAATAATAACAACTTTCAATAAGTGATAATTTGTATATGATAATTGATAATTTTCACAATATTTTAATTTTAATTTTAAATTTTCAGATTTCGTTCAATGGTTATATTAAATGAAAAAATTGGCAGGTATGAAATAAAATATAAATTATTTGATGAAATTGAAACAGTTGATGATATTAACCTGAAAGCAATGGAAATTGATGATAATAATGATGGTTATACTAATTCAACACGAAATATTTCCGGATTTAATTGATCTAAAAAAAATTATTTCTATGGTTGTAATTTGATTAATAATAAATAAAATTGTTTTTTTTTCTTTCCTCTTTTTCCCTTTTTTTTTCATTCTGGAAAGAGTAAAAAGATGAAATTTTTTCTTTTTTTGACTAAACTTAAGATAAATTATTATTATTTTATTTCAGTTTATTTAATCAAATCTTTGCAGCTTATAGTATTTGTAGTAAACAAAAAAAAAAGCTAAAATGAATTCAACAACATTTGTTTACCAGATTTTTAAATCACTTTTTAGCTTTCATTTTTTTTAATCCGTATTTTTTATCCTGAAAATTAATTTTTCTTTTCTTTTTTTTGTATGCATTTGTTGAAATCATATTGTTATGATTTTTTTTTGTGATGCATAATGCGCATTTTGTATTTTTAAATTCACTAATTGTTTTAATGTTTTTAATTAATATGCGAAATTTTAAATAGTACCAATTTGGATAGCAATAATGTTGTAATACTTTGAAATTTAATATTATAAATTAAAAAGAAATTTGAAATTAATGTTTAGAATGATTTGATAAAATAAATGATTAATTTCATATTGCTAATAATTTTATGCGAAAAGAAAAAAAAGTTTGAATAAAATTTAACATTTCTTGTTCGGCTCTCTTTTTTTTTGTTATTCAAAAATAAAAAAGTAAAAATATCATTTTTGAACAGATGTTCTTATAGACAGGTGTTTTTCCAGCAAAAGTAATTAGTTGGAAAATTAATTATCAAGAAAAAAGAAAGGAAAAAATAAAACAAAACAAAAGAAAACAAATCAAAATACAAACTGATTACATATTGTTATTTGTTAAACAAAAAAAAGAAGAAAAAAACTAAAAAATAAAAGAAACATTCCGAAAAAAAAAGATTTATTTTTTCTTCATTATCTATTACTTATATTTATATTTTAGCTGATATAGAACTGTTATCAATCATCAAACGTTCAAGTTTTTTTTTTTTTTTTCAATTTACGGATTCATATTTGTTTTATTTTTAATTTATTCAATTCCTTCAAATTTAACAAACAAAAAAAAACGAGCAAAAACATAGTGAACTCTTTTTCATTCGTATATTTTACATCAAACGGAAATGGTCGTTAAATTTTTTTGAAAGTTTCGAAATTTTGCTTCTTTTCCTTCTCCCAAAAGTTTTAGAAAAAATCAAAAAATAAAAATTATGAATTTTTAGCTGTAATTTTGTACCATTTTTTAGCATAATACCTTGCAATTTCAATAGGTATTGGTATAACAATGGTGGAATTATGTTCCGATGCGACATTTGTCAATGTTTGCAAATATCGAAGTTGTAATGATACAGAACTTGAGCCAATTGTTGATGCAGCTTCAGCTAATGATCTAAAATAAACATAATTAAATTAATTATTAAAAACTAACAGTTTTTTTTTTTGTTTTTCAACAAATACCTGCGATATATAAAACCGGTACTAATATTATTGGCTATTTTTTGCGTATGAATTAAATAATAAAATTAATTAACAAAAAAGAAGAATTTAAATTAGAATAAAATTAGTTCAAGAGTTATGACAAAAATTAAAAAGAAAAAAATTGAAAAAAAATTAAAAGAAAAAAAACTAACGAAGATGCTTTACGTTCACCATCAGCAAGAATGATAAGTGAACGAGCATCACGAGCTGCTCCTGCTTCAGCAGCCATTGATTTCATTAATTGATAAGGTAAACGTATATCTTTAATTTCAACACGTTGTACATGAACACCCCATGGTTCAGTTCCTTCTGCTAAAACTTTTTCAATTACCTAAAATATAATTAAAATTAATAATTATTAAATTAAAATAAATTAAAAAATGTTTTTCTTTCCAAATTTTGATTTAAATTTATTAGATGCTAAATTGAATTCGAAACAAATTTGATAAAAAATTTCCAATAACTTTTCATTTATATGTGTGAATGAATAGAATTTATAAAGAATTAATGATTTGTTGCAAAAATTGAATTATTTATTAGAATAATTGTCACACTTTTCGTCTTTTTTGTTTAATTTCTTAAAATTACAAAAATTTCAAAAATTAAAATCTGATTTTTTCTTTTTTCTTTATTAATTATATTAACAAATAATAACATTAGCTATGTTATCTCGTCCACTAAGCATTTCACTAAGTGTTCGAGTACCAAGCACATTTCGAAGTGTTGTTTGAGCCAAAAGTTTCGTACTAAATTGTGCATCATTTACATTTGTTACCGATATTACCGGATTATTAATCCGGAAATAAATTACTGCCTCAACGGATACTGTTACCGAATCACGACTGAGAATTTCTTGTGCCGGTACGTCAAATGATAAAACCCGTAAATCCACCTATAAATGATGCTTGTTACAACAAATAGATGAATGATAAATAATTGATCGATCATTGATAAGAGGAAGAAGAAATGGCAAAACATTTTCGACAATTATTTTGTGATAGTTCATTAAAAAAAAAAACGAGGAAACCTATTAAATTTAAAAATTAAATTTTGGATAGAATGAAATTTTAAACCGAAATTAAGAAATTCGAAAAAAATTCATACAACATGAAATGTATCAATGCAAGGCATGATAAAAAATAATCCCGGTCCTTTAATTCCACCTCTAATAAGACGTCCAAGTCTCATAACAACCGCTCGTTCGTATTCTCTGCAATTCAATAGTTTTTTTTTTTTCTTTCAAAAACAAATTAAAAGTTTTAGAAGTCTTAAATTAAAGAAAAAATCTGTAAAGAAATTCATTGTCAAAAATTTTGAAAAAGTATTATTTTTATCAAACTCAAAAAGTTTTTTTCCTTTTTTCATTATTATTTGTGAAAGAAATATTTGAAAAGTAATGAAATCTGAAATTTACGATAACTAAAAAATAATAAAATAATTATTATTTAAATTATGATTTTAAAATATTTGAAACTATTAACTTAAATTGTTGAATTAAGTAAGTTTGCTGTAGAAATTGTTTGTACGAAAAAAATATACAAACCTGATAATTTTACAACAAAATGGCAAACAAAATGGAAAAGTGATAATAACAAGTATCACTGAAAGTACATAAAGGCATGATGATATAAAAGGCGCTTTTTCCTAAAATTTTATTACATTTTAACAATTATTTTAATATGAAATGAAATTTATTATATCCAAAATTATTGCTAAAATCAATGTTTGGAAATGAATTAATTTTAACATAATTAGCCTCAAAAATGTTCCAAACCATTCGACGAATATGTGTAACATATATATATTTATTAAATTGGTACAAAAGTAATTATATTTTTTCAAATTATTCCAATTTCGCTTAAAATATTTTTGTTGAATAAAGTAGTAATTACAATAAATAATACATTATTTTGAAAATAAAAAATGAGTTTGCTTATTGTTGTAACTTAACGATTTATACTTTTAAAGTTTGACAAATTTATTGTAAATTATTTGTTCGCTTTCTGATAACTGTTGAAGTATTTCATTATAAATTTGTCGTAATCGAAGATGATAATTGAGGAAGTGATGGATAAGTTAAATTAGTATGACAAATTTAATATAATTAAAATCAATCATTAATTGGTTCTGATCTTTGAAGCGCAGATTGTTTGATGTTTGACTAGGCGTATTATCGTTTGACTAAAACTGAATCATTTTTGTTAATCAATGTTTTGGATAAAAACCGAGAAATTTTTCATTGTATCTTCTACAGTAATTTAATGGTGTGACATTAGTGATGTGACAGCTCCGCACGGTATTCACAAACTTGAAGTGACCCACAAGTGATACCAATCAATGACAACCTCATCCTCCTTTTATAATTTCAGTTTTCGAAATCGCTTTTGAGTTTTGCCGCTCAACCAATTGTAATATTTGATGTCATTGTAATTGCTATGATATATCTTC